ATTCCTCCCACTTTGCAGACAGGTGAAATGGAGTTGGAGAAATCTCCATTTCACACCTCTCAGGGCTCAGCTCAGCTTGGAGTTGTTTTCCTGACATCTCTCACATCTTTTCAAATCCCTCGTTTCGGCTCCGGCCGTTCCCAGCCGCCGCTTTGTCGCGGCGCATCCCTCGTCGCGCTCATGAAATATTGAAACTCGGCACTCACTAACGTTATTCACTCATTAATATTGCAAAGTCACCTAAACACGTTGCTCAAAACGTTTTGGGATCCTGTGTGAGTCTGTCAGGAGGAATTAAGGAGCTTGTTGGGGTCCAAGAAAGCAGAAAATCTGGTGAATCCTCTTTGTTGTATCTTTTCTCCGCTTGGACTAAATTTTTGGGTTCCATATTAAATGATACCTCATTAATTTTTTTCCCTAATTCATAGAGGGCAGGATGATTTTCCTGATAGTGGAACTTTGGAACAGGCAATATTTTGATTTTTGCTTGGTTGGAAGTGATGAAAAATGACACAGTTCATGTTTTAGGCTTGAGTGAGTTTATCTGTGGAACGCCACAGATCCATCAGATTGTGTAGCTTGGAGACTGTAATAAAGATAAAACAACTGGCAAGTAATCACTGCCCCAAAAAATAGCAAAAAGGAAATGCTTAGCCTTTGATAGTGTCATAAATTTTCAATATCTGAAAATAAGGGTTGGAAATGACAAATCACTGTATTTCTCTGAGAGTATTGTTTGGCAGTTTTGGATTTCTGTGGATTCTTGATTAATGTAGAATAAACTATGAAGTGGCTATCAGAGCACAAAACTAATATTTTTCAGCTTTTCTCAGTGTGTTGCTGTTGTCTCTGAATTAAAAGGTGCTTTTTTCTTAATTAACATCTGCAGGTGTTTTTCAAGAACAACAGAAATGGATATTTGAAAGTAAACAAATGAGGGAATTCTTGTGGATTTGGAATTAAATTACTCATCTTGTTATTGTGGCTAACAGGGGTCATGCTGGGCATGAGGAGAATCCTGGGCCATAAATCCACATGGCAAAATTAACAATTTGCTTTTCTTGAACTTAATTAAAAACTAGATGTGAAAAAGGTGGAAACTACTTGGAGTGCAGCAAAGTTTTATAGGTTTTTTTTTTTTTTTTAGAGTGTATTTTTGTATTTCTTGGGGTACAGAAAACTCCTTGGCCCTCTGAGATGCTTTCTTGTTTGAGTCTTAAATTTCCATTTTTGTGTTTCAAATTCGAATTTCTAATTGGAAAGTTCTATATTTGACTTTTCTTATCTTGTTGGACTTGATATGGTGGTGTCAGTTATTAATTTTAAGTCATGACTTAATTGAGAAATTATTTTTCCTCTTGTTTTGTGTTATTGTATTGTTATTACTTGACTTTAAGAGATGTGGGTTAAGCATTTCAGTGTGTCTTGGATAATGCTTTGAAATATTTGATAAATTCACAGGTAAATTCTCTTGTGCTTAATCTTTCATGTAGGACATTCACAGTTGTAACGCTGTAGAATAACAAATGCCACTAAAATCCCACATTCCCTGCTCTTCCAGAAAGAAAAGAGAGGAATAAAAAGAAGGAATGCAGAAGCAGAAATGTTATTTTGGTGAAATATTTTCCCTTTGGTCTGAAGCTCTGCTGGAGAGGAGATTGGAATGGGTTTGATCATATGTATTTGATTTCTGTACTTCCACAGAAAATCTAAATTAACAAAAAAATGGCTATTTATTTATATTTAAAATCTATTTTAATATTTTTATATTTTTTATATCTGGGAGTGTCTTCCAGAATTCTTTTTGCTTGTTGTTGTGTGATTGCTCCTCGAGGTGACGTGGTGGCTTTAGTGTTCAACCTGAGCCAAATCTGATTTAGAGGTGGAATGTACTGCAAACATTATTTTGATTAAAGTGACTTCAGGACTTAAAACAGTCAAAAATCTGTCTTACAGTGGAGCCTAAACATGACAATGTGATAACAAAAATACTCACATTCTTGTTATGCCCCTCTGACAGGAATAAATCTTCTGAGATGTCTAAATCCTGGGTGATTGGTTTATCAGGATTTACCCATCCTCTTACAAAAAAAAATACAGATATATAAATTTTCTACATAGCATTAAGTTAAGAGTGTTGAAGTTCTCAACGACAGGGCTGGGAAAAGGCAGGAATTGTTGCTTTTTTTTTTTGTGTTGGTTGTGTGCTATAAAGCAGTTGAGAAATGAAATATTGTGAAGTGTTAACGCAGACTTTAACTGGAGCTGCTCCTTAATGCTTTATGTGTGTTTTCCAATAGCACCATGAGAAGTGATTGCCTTGCATGCCACACTTCATTAAATCAGCCACTCCACGCTTCTTAAAGCAGTATTTCATAATTATTTAGAAGGATTTTATTCAAAAAGATATCAATTGTGTGGGGAAAATGTATAGCCAGCAGCCTTTTCTGCTGCTTCAGCAGCGTTTTGAACATCCTTTCTGTACAAATGATCAGTGTAACACTCTCTGTTGTCTGTGCTCAAACACAAGGACCATTATCTTGAGCCTTTATCTCTGCTGTAATTAAAAATGTCACTTGAAAAATTCCTGTGGAATTCCTGGAGCAGTGACAAGTTGTGCTGTTTAACTCCTCGCCAATCGCAGAGTTGCCTCTCTCTATTTTATTATTATATATATATTTTTTTTTTTTTAACTTTTGCCTAGATAATAATATAATTTATTACTGTAGATCCAGCTGATGTTTGCCTTTATTCAGTACACACTGAATGCCAGGAAAATGAATTTGTAATGCCAAGGGAGGAAAAAAAAAAATAAAAGAATCCTACTGGAGGTTGATGCAGGCGAGTGTTTGCGATCAGCGGGATGTGCCGAGTGTTTGTTTCATTAAGCTCCTACAAGCCACCCAATTATGGAACTCAAATAAATGAAAATTACTTCAAAATCCCGCTTATTTTGTTAAAAACTCTGCTGAATTTCAATCAGTTGTGGTGGCTGTTTAGGAATTTTGTTTTGTGAGTAAAAAGTGCGCTAAATGAAAGTTTGGTGGATGCTTGAGGAATTTAACTTGTGTTGCGTGATCCTGGTCACACAAATGAGGGTGAGAGTTGATAAAAAAAGATTTGAAATTTTTGCTTGAAGGTGCTGCCAGGAAAAGTCTTGGATGTAAAAAAAAAATTTCTTTTTGGCCTAAATTGTATAAAATTTGATAATGAAATAGTGTCATTTTCTTTTATGGTAGAACACCCTGCAAGAAAAGGGAAAGGGAGGAAAAAGCCAAACAGTAAAATGCTTTTTTTTTTTTGACTGAGGTGGCCTGAGTGTCTTGATCTAGATTTAAATGGCAGATTAGGAAGAAGATCTAATTTGATGTAAAGAAGAATTAAATGTAAATATCTGCGTGTTTTGTTTTGGGGATGTTTGGGTGTTTTTTGTTAGTGAGAGGGTTTTTTTTGTTTTGCTTTTAATTTTTCGGAGTTTATAATGTGGCAACTTTTGGCTGGATTTTTCAGCTAGTTTATATGTAAAGTATACTTCACATCTTTTAATTGCTATGTACAGCAGCATAAAGAAGAGCCATTTTTGAGTGAAAATCATTTGCAGGAGGTCAAATCCAAGAAGGATGAGGAAGGATTTCCTTCAGTCTTAGGAAGCATTAAATGCTCTATCTCTCTCTGTTGCTCACCAGAAAAAGGTGCTGAGACTACTATTTTGACACTTTATTCCTTTTTATACAAAACATGATTTCTCCAATCCAAAAGACAAGCAGCATGTTTTGACTGTGCCGTGTGAAGGATTGTTATGATTGTATGAAGGATTTGTTATATCAATCCTGCTGGAGTAATTTGGGGGACCTTGGGAAATCACTTAATGGAATTTGGTCCATGTCTGCATAATCTGACTTTTTTCTCTTTTTTTTTTTTTTTTTTTTTTTTCCTGGAGTAATTGAAGATGCAGCTTAATAAACTTTTATAAAGATTCCCAGTTGGTTGCTGCATTTCAGAGGGTTTGGAGCTGAGCACTGAAGTAATACATCTTGTAATTGTCTTTTTTCCTCCCTACCTCACTTAAATGCATTCCCTGGGGAAGAATCTAATGTACTCTAATGCTGGTACCTTTTACAAAGTGACCCGACTCATTAGGATTTGTTCTCCAGAGCTCCCTTGACAACAGATAAATGCACTGAGAATATTGAAGCTTCCTCTCCATCACTCTTCTAAAAAAAAAAAAAAAAAAAAGAAAAAAAAAAAAAAAAAAAGAAAAAAAAAATCTATTTGAAACCCAGCATTTCGTAGCTCCATTACTGCTCTGAGTTCTGTTCACAACACACAAGTTTTATTCACCGAGCGATTTCCAAGTGTTTCCATGAAAATGAGACACAGTGTGCTTGTCTCAAGTACTCCATTGCAGGTTTCAAATCTATTTATGGCTTGTGACATAGAAATGTTGAGAATTTTCTGGGCCTGAAGTTGCCTTTATTAACTCTCTTGCAACAAGTTCAATAACTATTTTCTCTCCTCCTGTCAAATCGCTGGGGAAGGTTGATTATGGATCTTTGTGGAGCTTGGGGAATGGATGAAGTCCTTGGGTTTATGGTGTGTTTAGAGGGAGGAAAGCACTTTGCCAGTGCAGAAAAGCTTTTAGGTGGAAATTGAGTGCCTGCTGGCTGGTGGGGAAAGGATTTTCCTGGAAAAAATGGTTCCATAAAATCAAAACCCAGCCAACCAACAGAGTTCTCTGCACCTTACTTAAAAATTTATTTCATTGAATCAGTCCTAATTTATACGATTTAATGAACAGTGATGTCAAAACTTGTGATTTATGTGTATTCAGATTTTGATACTTCAATTTAAAATAAACCTCTGGATTATTTTCGTGAATATTTGTATTTAAGTATCTGAAGAAACCATGAGTACAAAACTTTCCAAGTGACCACTCTGCTTTGAAACTCCACTTGGAAAATAGATTTTGGAATTTTCTCTCAGCCTCAATCTCCCTGCAGGTTGACCCAAGAGAAGATGTACGTTCGGGATGAGTTTGGCAAACTCCTGGAACGGGAGAGGATCTCCAGCAACGAGCACCTGACCCGAGCCATCCTCCGCGAGAGAGCGGCCACGGAGGAGGAGAGGCAGAAGGCTCAGCGCTTTGTGAGTGCTCAGAATTTCCCACAAATCACTATTTGCCAAGCAGCTCTCTCCCCTCAGGCTTATTTGTGTTTATTTTTATTTTTTTTTTTAATTTATTTTAGTTTTACGTTGGTTTTTTGTTTTTCGGTTAGCGTTGGGAATTGAAGCGCGAGAAATGAGGTTTTGGGTTCAGACTCTGGTTTTTGTTAATTTTTATCATAGTACAGGGAGTGCTACAGCTACCAGCTAAAAGTGAAAAAATGGAGGTGTTAGAAGGTCTTTTAAAGCTAAACAGTTCAATTAAAAGCTAACAGCTAAATTATTTTTACTTTTGACTTAATGACTGAACACCCGTGACCTCCGCTCCGGCATTTTCCATTCAAAATAAAAATAATTTAATGCAAAATTATATTCTTTTACAATTCACAAATGATTATTTTACAATTTACAAATGATTTTTTTACAAATTCTTTTATTTTACAAAAAAATACTACTTCAAACTAAGAAGAAGGAACAAGAAGGGAAAAAAATCCAACACCCCTGAACTTCTGTCTTGTTTCATACCCATTACATTCTATTTTAAAACCCTAAATTTCAAACCTTTCACTAATGCTCAAATTACACACCAGTGATTTTAACTCCATCACTCAATTTTGGAAGCCTTCTCCAAGGCCTCAGGTCAAAAGCAGAGTTCTCCTTGGGTCAGTGCCTGAAAGCACAGAAAGCTCAAAACTCCCAAAACTCCCAGCACAGCCCTATTGGTAGAAGAAAGGAGCAGATCTCATTATTTCTTTTTTTTTTTTTTTTTTTCATGACTAAGTAGCAGCATGTCATTTTATTTTGGTCAAATATCCCTTTTTAAGGGGTTTTGCTGCTCGTTTCCAATTTTGGAATCAGCTCAGTGAAAAATTCTGTTTAAAAAGAATCATCTCTCATTAGAGCTGATGTATCAAAGCTTCCTGACAAGGAAATTGGAGCATATGGTTGGCTGTTTTCCTCAGAAAACCGACATTTTGCAGTTCAGTCCATTTCAAATGTCTGACAGATTTATAACTTCCTCTATGGAGTGTTTGCTTGCTGTAGTGAGTCTCTATTGACTCTTCTTTCTAACAATAATCATTATTATCTGAGGTGGGAATATGCCTTAAAAACATAAATCTGCTTGAATGTGAATACTAAAGAAATTGGTATTTTCAAGGCAAAAAGTTTAAAATACTTAATGTGAGCACTGCTATGAAAATAAATGGCAATTACTTATGTCAGCAGCAGCATAAATATTTGTTGGGTTCTCTAAATCTGAAGTAAAATCCAAAGTTTTTAAGGTTTATGGGTTGGTATCTTAGAAATCAATCACTTCAATAAGCAATAGCTTTGTGCTGTGGGAGTTAAAATCTGATGTTCATGTTATTTTTCCAAATCCCAATTTCAAACCAAACCAATTCCACCTCAGTATTGGTATTTTTTTCCAGCCATTTTTGGATCCTTTTTTCACCTCTGTGGTACCGTTATTATTGAAGAATAATTTCAGTGTTGTAAACAAACGTTTAATATTTTGTCATTGTAAAACATGGGAACAAAGGAGAATGGGAAGGAATTATGACCAAGGTACAGCCTCAGTTACATTCCTTAAATCCTTGGATTCTTAATATTGTGTAGGAGAGATAAGGGTTTTGTGGCCTGGAGCTAATGAGGAGTTGAAGATTTATAATGGAAACTATTATTTGTATAATTACTGGGAGTTTGCATCTTTTTCTCCTTACTGTGGTGATTTTAGGAAGCACAAGCTGGATTTCTCCTCAGCCAAATGCTCGAAAAAATTCCTTATTATGGATATGAAACTGCTTTATTTAGTTATTTGGCTGCTTCATTTTCACTTGCTTCAGAATATCAAAGTTAGCAGTTGTGTCATCTTGGTTTTGATCAATCTTCCTGGTTCCATCTGGGAAATTTGGAAATATCTGGTGCAGGTTTGTTATCACCACTGCAGATTTGCCATTTGCACTGGAGCTTGTTCATTCTTTGAAATGTGTACCCTGAGATTACAAAATAGCAAGAAGGTTTTGTCTGTTTGTTCCCTTAAATATGAAAATATTGAGTAATTTTCACATTCCTAGAAGTCAGCTCCTTTATTTTCTTGTAATTGGTCAGATTTTTTTTTTTTTTTGGCTTCATTGCTTACCCTACCTATGCAGTTATTTCCTGTATCAAACCTGAATTCAAAATACCACAGGGAAATGTATTTCTGTGTATCCTTTGTCAGGTACTGTGAGGAATTCTGTGTTCTAGTAAACTGCTACAGCAGGTTTGTATTTTATGGTGCCCAGATTTGATTTGTTAGACTCTTCTTGGGGAAAAACAAAACTGTTCCTGAAGTTTCAGCGGCAAAAATAAATTCCTTTGCTGCTGCTAAATTGTTCAAATTGTGCAAAGGAAAAGAAATTACTGTGAGAAAGGAAGAATTTTGAGTTTTCCTTGTAGAGGGTGCTAATTCAGGTTTTAATAAATAGATGTGAAATGCAGTCATATTTCTCATTCTTGAAGAATTTTAATACCACCTGCTGCTTATAATCTCAGAAGGAACAAATTTGTAGTGTTAGCATCCCAAAAGTTAGAATTAGCTCTTTATACAAAAGTTACACTTTTACAAAATTTATATAAAAGCTCAGCTTTCTACAAAAATTAATAAAAAAAGGATGAAATGATGTGTTAATACCTGAACTACTTTTATTTCTGTGACATGTCCCAGGAAGTGCCCTCAGTTCAGGGGGGCTGACAAGTGGCTGCTGTGATGTCACCTCCTGCAAAAAACATATTTTGGCGTGATCCAAAGCTTTGCAAAGCACTAATTGTGACATTTGTGCCAGCAAAAGTAGAAATTATTGTTCAGAGTGGAATTTCCAGCCCCTGGAAATCCCTTGTGGTGTCAGTGTGAGGATTTAATCAACTGTTGGTGCTTAACTCAGCAGAAATGAAGGCAGCAGCTGTCGATTCCTTCAGCAATCCTTTCAATGCCACTGACTGGGAGCGTTTTGGACACAGCCTGGCTCTCCTCATCTGAAAAATTTGGGGATATGTCTTGGAAAAGTGATGCTCTCGAGGTGCTGGGGAAGTCTTGGATGTCCTCTGGCCTCTCCCCCCTGTCTGGCTGTGGGATATTGGACCCTGGGATGAGCTGGACCTGGGGGAAATGAAGATGGGGAGACCCTGGCACAGTTTTCCCAGAGAAGCTGTGGCTGCTCCGTCCCTGGAGTGTCCAAGGGTGGCACTTGGAGCACCCTGGGGTGGTGGAAAGTGTCCCTGCCCATGGCAGGGGGTGGAATGAGATGATTTTTCAGATCCCTTCCATCCCAAACCATTCTATAATTCCAAGATTATTTTTTTTTTTTTCTCTCTGCTTTCCCCCTCATCTTCAGAGCTGTTTCCTGGCCTGTTGTCAGGGTTGGGTGCAAAGGGTGCTTTGATGATGATGAATTTATTTTCTTCTCTGCATTTCTCCTTTCCTGTCATGTCAGTGCAGATATGAACTGAGGCAAATATTTCACAAACCCATCCTGGAGCCCTTTCCAAATGCAGCCAATCTGCTTTATAACAACTCCAAAAACCAGCTCCATTGAGGAAATTGCAGAGGGCAATTGTCAGGGAGGGCAAAATGAGAACTGCTTGAACTGGCCTTGCCACCAAACGAGGTGGTTTTTGTACCTTTAGCTTCACTCACTTTGGAGCTGTGACATTTGCAAAGCATCTCAAGTGAAATGCTGGTGAAAATCACTTTGTGATTTCACCAAAGGACAAAGTGCATCGTGTGCTCCAAGGCAGCAACTGCAGCTGGTTAAAAATGCTTCTTTTTTCTCCAAGCTCTCAGTGTGGATAGGATTTTTTTTTCTGCCCATCCCTCTTGAAAAAAGGCTTCAGAATAAATCAAATCTTCTATTTTAGCCCAGCCATAAAGAATTTTGATGGTGGTGTGGTTCTCTGTAGAAGAGGGTGAAGCTGAAGGTCCTTATGATGGCTCCAAGAATATTTTTATTATATTTTGTCACTTAGACCTGTTCTCTGCCATGTTTATTATTGGAGATATTTGCAGCAAATCTAAAAATTGGGCCTAGTTGTGTTGGGCACAGTCTTGTAGAGTGGCTTTCAATGTGATGGCTTTGCCATAAATAGTTTATTGATGTTCCATCACTCGAGTCATTATGAAAGTCAGGGTGAGATGAGGAGAATATGGAGTAGGAAATCAATAGTTGCCCAAAGTGCAGAGGACCTGTTGTATTTCCATCTCCTGATAATGACCTGGAGTTTACTGTGAACACATTTGCTCCTCTGTCTGGACTGAAATGAGTTGTCATTAGGAGCCTGTATGTTAGAAAATGGTTTTATTGAGCTGCCAATGACATTAAAGTCTCATTTCCCTTTGAAGAGGCACAGAAATATTGTTCTGTTCATGTGCTGTAACCAGAACATTAAAATTTGATTATTGCTATCATTAGAAGTCTGTATCCATACTAATGCAATTACATCTATTTGCCCATGTGTTGTTCCAGGCTTTCATTGAAGCACCTGTTTGAGAATGAAATCTGTTGGTGCTGAGGAATCTCATTGTTTTGTAAATTATTTTCTGCACAAGAAGTTCTATCAAAAAATTCCTCGCTCAAAAAAAAAAAAAAAAATCAATTTGGTAGAAGTATCTTTATATTAAAAAGCACTTTTTTTTTGCACTTTAGGTCACTGTGATAATCAGATTATTGGAGATTTTTCTCCCTAACAAAATCCTATTTGAGATGTGAAGTTCTTTTACTTCTCTGAGCCCTGAAATCAATAGACAAAATACATTCCTGGCCATATCAGAGCTGAAGTGTGTTGAGTTATGTGAGGAGGAAATCTGACCTGTTGTCATAATTGAATATACAGGTTGTTAAAATGGAGTTTTTTGCTCCTCTGTGCCTGAACTGGTTTGGTGTTTCCCCCATCACCTTGGGGTGACTGGTCCCAGTCAATGCCCTCCCCTTTGGAGCTGCATTTATTTTT